TCTTGAGTTAGCTTCCAGAGTCCCAGACGCTTAACTGAATGTATCAAGGCACTGAGAGTTCAATTTTCAAATTTCTGTGAAATTCTTTTAGCAGACAGTCCAACATGAGAACTGGGCATCTTCTGATGGTGCACGAGTGTGTTTGCAGTCCAGAAAGCGAATAGGATCTGTAGTAAATTCCTGTGATGACAGTGTATTCCTTCTTCTTAAGTCCCGTTACTCATGTGTGTTCTGTACCAGAGCTCTGTACTACCTGCACTCCTGTATCATGTTTGTAGAACTGCTGTACAGTGTGATATCACAAGATCTGTTTTCAGAACCTTTACATCTTTAAGGCTCACTCCTCAACTCCACTCCGTAGTAACAGTTCTATGGAATCATTCCATCACATTAAACATGTTTTCAAAAGGTGGTTATTCACAGATCTGGTGATATGACTAGGTTTCCAATCTCTATGACCCTGCATTGACCTGGATTGTCCACCATAAAAATGAACACTACAGTAATACATTAAAAAAAAAAAAATAGGGACGCAAAAAGCCTAAATGAAGAATGAAACTGTTTAAATGCCCAAAACTCTTTTCTCATTAAAAAATACCAAGAAAAACAAAAAATACCAACCAAACAGAAAACCCCAAACAGTACCTGGCTCCAAAGGTAACTCTTCAAGTTCCTGCAGTGAAAAAGATTTTAAAAAGGAGAAAGATCACTATTTCATAAGAAGTCAAGCCATTTTTCTGCATGACAACTTTCAACCACCCAATATACAGCAGAACTTAAGGGAAGCGTTAGTATAATTTAACCTATTTCAGCTTTGAAAATGTTGAATTTTAAATTAATTTCTCAGAAGGTTTAACATGAGTTTTTAATATCCTCAAAGTTTTAGGAAGTGTGTAAAAACTTTAGCGTTTCTCAAATTCAGACACCTGTTGAACTCATGGTGCACAATCACATCAGTAAATAAGTCAACAAACATAAGCAGCACAGAAAAAAGTTTATCTTCTCTACAACATACTTTGTGAAGTCTCCTTTCTGAAAAAAAGATCAATAGAAACACCAGGTTCACCTGGAGCCAATGTCCTTACCCTACTAGTGTCCTTAACCTACCGTGAGTGATCTGGAAACAAGGTCAGTATTTCAGGAATAGACAATATCAGCTTTCTTGACAACATGAGATACCTCCACTTTTAATGGAAGTCAAACCTAACGTAAAGCACTGAGTTGGTATATACATCAGATAAAAGGAATCAAATCTACCATCAAACTCAGTATGCTACAGATATCACATATACATAAATACATCCTAAGAGATATATAGATCTTTGTGCACATGAGTAAATCAGAATGGCATTAGTTCCTATTCTTCGCAGAATAAGAATGCACCCACTGTGTACTTCCTGTACATACACTGTTTCGACATATAGTTTTATATGGTATGGGGTTTTTTTGGTAAAGAAAAACTGGCTACCACTTACCTTTATTACGGTTAAATCTGATGAAGAAGCATCTAAACTGTTTCCAACATCTTCCAACTCTACCTTTAAAAAAAAAAAAGGAAGACGTTTTGTTATCTATAAAAGAATATTGTGAGTGAAACCTGAATGAGAAACCGAAGATTTTATTTTCACTGACAACTGGTATTAAGCAAATATATCTAGCACACAAAACAACCGATAAAGGTAAAAACTGAGCAATGACCATCATGAATCTTCCCGATCTCCACTGACTGGATAAGCTTTCTCATTACCTCTTAACTATGTTGGTCAGCTCACACAAATCTTTTAAGTATGGGGATTCCAACAGAAAACTTTCTTTGACTTGTATCTCTGTTGTTTATAGCAACATAGAGTCAAAGAGTCTATGTGACTTGATAACTATTTCCTTTTTCTGCGGTAAATAGCAGACCACGGGAGGCGGTCTGGCCTCAAGCAATTTAGTCACTGAGAAAACCTAGTTTCCCCGTATTTCAATTTGACTCGTGTAGGACAAGGATATGCTTGGGGATAGGGGGTCAAGCTTATCTCCGCAACTTTCAGATCAGGACAGGGGAACCACACAACTTTAGAATCTTGTAGTCCAGACTTACGACACAACGTGCACACACAACAAAGAGCTATACTCCCTCTTAGATGGGGCAGAAATAACTTTCTTAAAATGCTGTGTTATACATTTCAGGAGATAACACACTTGATTCCAGACAAACATGAAAAGCCAACATACTTTCAACAACTGAGAAACTTCAAGACCCAACCTTAACAGAAAAATAACACAGAATATAGTTCCCTGAATGTTGCTGTTCAACTGAAGAGAACAAAATAAGCTACAGCATTTGTATGCCTCACATGTTCTCTAAAACAAAGATGTGAAAATGGGAATGTAAACATAAAGTGAAGCAGAGTTCAAAGCGTGATTAAATACAAATGCCTTCTGGACCGCTATTAATTCATACAGTCACATTTGTACAAACAACATCTAAGTATTTTAAAATAAAGAATCATATTTGCGTAAGTATGTAAAAGAAAATGCAATGGCCATAAGAACCAGTAGAGTCCCAAATCGTTTCAAGTATTCTGTAGCTACCATTGTGCTATTTAATTCAGAAATAAATAAATTTTAGAAAAAAAATCTGATTCCACACACAGAAGAGATGCATACCATCACTATTGGTATTTCTCTTGATTCTTCTTTAATTTCTGAAAATTGTGGGGATGCCTCCAAGTTACCTACAGCATACTGTGCAGGCTGATCTGGAAATTCTCTCACTTCTGCATCAGCATTTTCTTTACTATCAGACAGCGAGTCAAGAATATTACGAGCATTGTAATCCTCTCCGCAATCTACCACATTGCCATTATCTATTTCAGCTTCATCTAACACACTAATATCCATCATGTCAATATCCTGCAAGTTATCCAAACTTGCTTCAATATCGTCCTGTAAAAAGAAAAAAAGTACATGTAATAGTCATTGCAATTTAAAAGCAATGCTGTCATTAATTTGCTTCAAACCCAGCATCACATACCTGTCCATCTCCCGAGTCCTCTTCCAGGCCGTTGTCTTCTACTCCCTCTTCCTCTGGTCTACGTCCTAACGACATTATGATCATTAGAATGAAAAGAGAGTAAATATATATGTAATCTTCAACTCTTACTTTTTCATCAGAGTTGGTATTCCATTCAATTTAGTTATCTGCTTTACCCTTATTTCCCACAACCGAGCATTCGTATCAGTTCCAGTTCAGTAACTGACACACACACAGCCCAACGTCTGGCAAGAATTCAAGAAGCATCACTGTGCACTCCCCAGAACATTTGGCTCAGCTGAGATTGCAGCAATTTATTATCTCAACTTTCATTTCTTTACAGACACTTACTAGAAGAAAAAAGAAAAGGCAACCTAACAAAAAGCACAACACAAACCAATGAAAAAAATCCCTCTTCCTGTGAGTGTTACTGCACTGCTCTGTGCACCGGCTGGACTTGCCACATCACATGAGAAACCAAATTGACTATTTTATAAAAAGAGACACTGCTTTAGCGTTACTTAGTAATTCCTGCTACAAATTTCAGGGGACACTGAGAACAAACCAAAAGATCCTTCAAGTAGATAATTTCCTGCCTTATTAAATTACATTCTATTCTGTGAATAAGTGATCGCTAACTGTAACACCCATCCCTAGAAACCTGAGCACGAGTGTGAAGAAAAGTATCAGAAGTATGGGATTAAAGGTCAGAACCAAGGAACAGAACATTCAGTTCTGCTTCATTTCTTCCAGAGAACCATTTTTACCCAAATCTGGCTCAGGCAAGTAACATTAGCTACAGCTTTGGGACTGCAGAACATTTAGTAACAGTGCCCAAAATAAAATCAAGTACAAAAAAAAACAGAGAAAGGATTAGCAAGGTTCCATTTCACAAGTACAGTTCCTTGAAAACTCAAGGAAGATGGAGTGGAGATTCTCTCTGACTGCCCTGTACCTTTGCTGCTTCTTTTTGAAGTTTTCTTCATGATGCTTTCTGAAAGCACTGGAATTTCATCAGGATTCCCTCCTTCCTCCTCAATAGCCTAGTAAAAGGAAAAGACAAAGGTAGATATGAAGACAGACATAGAAAATTTCATTTGTGCATTTTTGCTGAGTTTCGGAGCTGGACATCAGAGGTTGAAAAATTTCAAAACAAGAATCTAGTGCTTTGAATCAGCAACTCGGATGTCACAGCAGTGACACCTCGCTTCTAGGAGACGGTAAGCATCAGTTCAGTGAAGGTATTCTGCATTCTGCTAACATGCCAAACATTCTGATATACTGTACGGGCTACCAAGAAGCAAGCCACAAAAATATCAGAACGAAATATCACACAAAAAGCCTAGTAGACAGTGCACAGAAGTATAAATGCAAGAACTGAGTGAAAGGCGGAAAACTCACCCTCCTGAGCCGCTCCATGAGGACGCTCTTGTTGCCGCCGCTGTCCAAATTGCGGTGCTTGAGCTCGGCCCGCAGGTCTATCACGCGCAGCTCGCTCAGCGGCCGTCGCCGGTTTTCAGACTCCGAACCGGGGAACCCGGACCCACACAGGGACGCAGACTCTCCCTGCCCGGCCGCTGACTGACTCTCCGCCATAGGCCGTCGTTTCGAGTCGCGCTCGCAGGGCGAGGCGGGATAAAAACAACGCGGAAAAGTCGCAGCCGCAGCACAAAATGGTGGAAAACCGAGGCGCGGGGGGGGGGGGACCGAGCAAATGGGGCGGAAACGGGAGGAGCCGCTGGGCGCGCGCAGCCTACCCCCTCCCTGACGCATGCGCTCCGCGGCTCCTTCCGCTCCAGGGCCGTGATGACGGCGCGTGCGCGCTGGAGCTTCGATACGTCACCGCGGGAACGCGCGGCGAGACCGCCCTGACCCCGTGGGCGCTAGCTGTCCTTGACGCGGGCGCCGCCGTTTTGCGTTTACGTGGGAGCCTTCACTCAATTCTCCCTCCAGGCCCTGCCCCCTCCCTCCTCCCAGCGCCTGCGCACTGCGCGGTTTGTGCCCCCTCCCCTCGGCGCGTCTCGCTCGCACCATTTTGTGCTGTAAACGCAAGGTTTGTCGCGGGGTTGGGTTGTTCTCCTGCGCGCTCGGACTCGAGGCGAAACATCGAAGAGGCCTTGATGGCGGAGAGTCAATCAGCGGCCGGACTGGGGGATTTCACATCCCTTGGCGGGGCCGCGGCTTTCGGCTCGGAACCCGAAACGCGGCGGCTGAGCGAGTTGCGAGTCATCGACCTGCGGGCCGAGCTCAAGCGCCGTAACCTGGACAGCGGCGGCAACAAGAGCGTCCTCATGGAGCGGCTGAGGAAGGTGAGCGGGGAGGCTGCGGAAGGGGGGAGGGGGGAAGCAGGCGGGAGGTGCCATCCGGGTCCTTTGTCCGCGGCGCGCTTGGCGCGTGCGCGCTCGGGGCCGAACCCGTGGTCGCCGGCGACCCTGAGGGGAGCGGGGCTCAGAATAACTAGAACGTCTGTCCCCATTTTATCAGCACTATTCTCAGCACAAATTCAAAATATAGCCTCATACCAGCTACTGTGAAGAGAATTAACTATCTCATCCAAAGTCAGTACAAATGCACACCAGCGAAGAATACAGTAGATGTCATACTGCTGTCTCCAATAGGCCATTGAGGATGAAGGAGGAGATCCTGATGAAATTCCTGTGGCCTCAGAACTGACCAACAAGAGAATGCCAAAAAGAACTAGCAAAGGTATGGTGTCTGGGCACTTATATTTCCATTGTTTGCATGTAGCTAGAACCTAGCATACAAAGTTGATATGTTCTGTTTCATTAATTTTCAAAAAAAGTGCTTTTTACCTTATGGAAAACAGTAAAACTTTGTTACATTAGTGAGCAATAAGAAGTTTAAATGATAATATGATGCCTTAACTGTACTTTGTTGGCAAGTCTTGAAAGCTATAGATGAAACTGTAAATTGCAGGTGTTTCTGTACTTGTGACCATGAGTGTAGGATTGGGTCAGGTACGGAGCAAGCAGCTGCAGCAAGCAGCAAGCACCTGTGGAAAGCTCAGTGATTTAAGTATGCTTTGCTTCCAAACATTGAATATTGTGTGTGCCGTGTTACACATGGCTTATTTTAATTGCTCACAGCCAGTTCTTTAAAAATATGTTCTGGAGAGAAACGGGCTGTTAAAGCCGCTTCTTTCAAGATAAAGGGCCTAAAAATAGAGAAAGAGCAGTTGTCTGAATAGTAGTATGAGTTTGCTGGTGAAAGTGATGTGTGCATCCAGAATCTTAAAAGTGAACACTAATCTAAATCAGTTTAATTAAGAGAAGTTTTTTCCCCTAACGATCTTCAGGTGTTATTTTTAAATGGAGCACCTTCCTAGACAGTGTTGTGTTTTAGGTATTGAAGTGGAATGAGACTGCAGCTATAGAGAAATGTAGCTAGGCTACTTATAGTTCATGCTCATGCTGTTAGCTTGTTTTGAGTGGCAAGTTGACCTTGGTTATATCCAGACAGACCCAGATTTCTGAATCAGTGTCTTAATGATTTCTTGTTGAAACAAACTCAGTATTAGATAGATAATTCACCACTGATTAAGCATGTTACGAAATTTATTGCTACGTCTCACTGCGGCGATACTGTTTTTAGGAAGAAAACCAGAAGAAGAAGGTATTGAAGACAATGGTCTAGAAGAAAACTCTAGAGATGGGCAGGTAAGTTGAAATCATAATTGCAGTTACTAAGAATACACATCATTTAGCCCACAATAAATACACATTTACCCTTTTTCTTTCTGTAGGAGGATATCGAAGCAAGTCTGGACACCTTGCAGGATATTGACATGATGGACATTAGTGTATTAGATGAAGCTGAAATAGATAACGGCAGTGCTGTGGACTGCGGAGAAGATTATAGTCCTGATAATATTCTCGATTCTCTGTCTGATAATAAAGACAATGTTGAAACAGAAATGAAAGAACTTCCAGATCAGCTAACAGAAAACGAGGTGAGTAGAGATCTTTGTAATTTTTCAGAAGATACTTAATAAGTATAGGGGCACATGAACAAGTTATTTCAGTCCAGTGGAATATAGGACATGAATGTGTTCTGAATTCTATTTGACATTAACAGCTCCTATGTCACACTCTTTTAAGTGGTAAATATTCTTGGACTGATCAGAGGCTTGAAATATTCCCAGTAGATGGGTCCTTGTCTTCATTACCTTGCAGCATCATCTTTACTTAACATGATAAGAGCCTGGAACTGAAAGTACCATATTAGTTTTCATGTTCGCTTCCCGTTTATATGTTATTTGTCTTGAAGTTTATATATACGTATATCTAGCCATCTCGTTAGTTGAATATATGGAGAGGGAGAGAAATACATTTTCAACTCACAGGCAATTTGGAAATCTTTTCTGCAGAAGTAATGCTCAGGTTTAAGGGAATTATGTCATTCTGCTTTGTCGTAGAGATTAATAAAAGAAGAAGCAGAACTTCATATATTGCCGTGTTCTGACATTGCCAGGCTTTTGACTTGATTTTGAGGGCAACTTGCAAACTCATTTACAGATAGCACAGTCTCCTTCTATTGAATGAACAGGGTAATCCATATGTTACGTTTGGTGCTCAGACATTATCCTTCTTGGATCCTTGTGGGTTTTTTTTTTCTTTTAGGCTGTTCACTCACAGAACATACTATCCTTCCTTGCCTCCTTAGGGTTCTTTTTCTTAATTATTTTAGACTTGCATATCCGTCTCAACTTTTTATCATTTACCTCCTGTCATGTGAAATGGGAGATTTTCTCACACCCTTTATGTTTGATTGACCTGTCAGTGCCCCAGGGCAGCTGAGACCCTTGTGCCCAAGCAGTCTGTGAGTGTCCTGTCAGGGGGACCCTTGACTGGACAGTCTGGATCAGAGGGTGGTTCGACAGACCTGTTCCGGATCACACGCCAATAGCGTGAGACAGACCCCCTCCCAGTCAAGTATGGTACTTGCTGCCAGCAACTGTTAGTGCCCTTGAAGGACTCACACTTAACAGTTTCTGGAATAAGACTGTTAATATAATAGGAAATTGTGACAGGTTAAGGTTTGTGGATTGCTAGTGGTAGTATCTGGCTGCAAAGAAAAAGTAACATACCAACAAGCTCTAATTCCTAACAAAACTGGCTTGAGTTAATCATTCAGTGGCACAATAAGGGCCTTACCCAATAGACATCCCTATGGGAGAGAAGACAGGTCCCACCCTGTTACAATAGAGTCTTCCCTAGCTTTTCCCCATTTTTAGCTTACTTTTATACTATTTCTGCATTTAGGTGGAACCTGGGTGACTAGTCATACATCACGGTCAGTGGGAGGTAGTCATATGTTGGAGATGGGTAATGTCAGTATTACATCTGAGGTCACCTTAGGGACAGAGTTGTGCATTTGTGATCTTGCCCCAGTTGCTGGTTCAACAGCAAAAAATCTTTCTTCTCCCTTGGTTGACAACTGTTCTGCAGTTGATCACCTGCCACCAAGTTCCCTCTCTTGCAAGGATTTCAGCAGAGCCTGGCCACAGTGTCTCCGTTCCACCCTCTGATCAAGACTGTCCATGAAGGGTCCCCATAATGGGACACTGACAGACTGGTCAGGCACAGGGGTCTTGGCTTTCCCAGGGCATTGACAGACCAAGCAAACACAAAGGGTTTGGGAAAATCTCCCCTTTCATGTGACACCTTGGAACACAGTCATTCCAACGGCATCCGGTTAACCTGAAAAACAATTCTGTGGTGTTCCATAGATTAAAGTTGTTGTGAGTCACGTAACCAATGAGCTTTGGTTGCATGTTACCATCAGCTCTTAAGGAAGGAAGGAAGGAAGATTTTGGGAGATATGTTTTGTTTTTGTAAAAGTAGAAACCTAAGTCAGCCTTATTTGTAACTTGTTTTTTTATTTAGAAATTAAAGTTAAGTGGGAAAATGGAGAAACACATTCAGTAAACACAGAAATGTGAAATAAATTTCTCCTCTAAATAAGAGTAACCTTGAAATAGACAATGTCATGTTGAAACTAAAATGAAAGGTAGTAGGAGAAAGATATTTAGTCATCAGGAACGTTTATATGTTGCTGCTCATTCTTGGCCAAGATTTGAAGTAGCAATTGAGACCTGTCAAATACTTAAAAATATTTCTGGTTTTCTTGATAGGGAAAATTAAATACAGGTGTATTCTCTGTAAGTTACTCTTCGTAAGAAATTATATAATTTCTTTTTTACTCTTTTAGGAAGATTATGATGAAATTGAAACCAATTTAGAAGCCTCCTCTTCTGATTTAATTGAAATGAAGGTAAATTGAAAATGTAGTTGTGTTTCAGATTGCTGTATTATCAGTATATTGTATTATTAGTATTCACTGTGTTCTCACACTAAAAAAAGAAAATGTGACCATAATATGAAATTATAATAGAATCCAAAACATACATGATCTTGCTCAGCACGTAGTCTCTGAAATGAGAATGCTCTGTGGATTCTTCCTGTTTTCCAGTCAGCTCTCAAGACTTCCTTCACTTTCATGGAAAAAAAAAATTATCTTGTACTGTTGATTTTTTCTTTTTCCCCGCTGATTGTATAATATACCAGCTGGGATTGTTTTTTCTCTGTAGTCGGTGCGGTAGTATATAAGGATACTTTATTGGTCTCTTTAAAATCCGAAGTTAGTTGCGAGAATGCAGTTGTGGCTGATATTTTGATTCAGTTTTCATGTGCCAGTAAAATTACTCATATAAAATACTCAGTTCCAGCGGATGGCGAAGAAAAGAGCTAGATGTAGTAGGTGAATTTGTGTAGTTTTCAATCTTGGGATTGGGCAGGGAGTTTCTATTATTCTCTTTTAGAAAATACGTTTTATAAAATCCTCATTCTATATTGTTTTTTTTTCCCCAAACAGAAAATGGAGAAGCTACACTTGGAGCCAGGTACTGTTAAAGAAAAACATATTCCTGTCTTTTCAACTAATACTTTTTAAACCATTAACTATTAAAAAAAAACAAACAAAAAAACGTAATTTTCATTGTCTTTATGATGGACAATCCAGATCACGCAGGGTCATAGAGATTGGAAACCCAATCATATCCCCAGATCTGTGAAGTGATGCTTGTCATCTCTGAAATATTTCCAGTGAAATGAAATGGTTTAAAAACCTGTTAAACTACATAAATGGATTTAGAGAAGTTAATCACAGTTTAAAAACTAAATATACTACTTGTAAACAGATCTTGTGATATTGCATACACCTTAACTCTATTACTTAAGTAGAGGGCAGTGAAAGCAGTAAAAAGATATTCTAGGGCACTAAAATGTAAAGATTAGTTACTGGATACAGAAGAAAGAAGAGTTTCTTCATGGAAATTTCATACAGATACTTTTCACTTTCTGGACTGCAAACACACTCATGCACCATCAGAAGATGCCCAGTTCTCATGTTGGACTGTCTGCTAAAAGAATTTCACAGAAATTTAAAAATTGAACTCTCAGTGCCTTGATACATTCAGTTAAGCGTCTGGGACTCTGGAAGCTAACTAGAGAAGAAACAGAGCTGAACGATTTCGTGAAGAATGTGGAGGATGAGCCAGAAGTTTTTTGTTAAATCTGTGGGGGCATTTTTCTTCCCTGTTATCGTGTGAGGGCTGATTTGGTAGTTTGTCAGAAAGCAGTTAGCGTAGTACTTTTAACACTGTGTACACTAGGGTTTTCCAATCTCTGTGTAGCTTAGAAGTTCTCTTGGTGTTAGTGTGGCAGCCATGCCAGTTCCACATTTGTGATTGCTGTATTTCCCTGGTGATTAAATCTTGTGCCATTCTATTCCTGTTAAATCCGTAGAAAATGAGAAAATACTCGACATTTTGGGGGAAACTTGTAAATCTGAAGTACTTAACGAAGAAACTTCCGAAGTGGAGCAGCCACATGC